AACTCTCCTCCCTTCCTCATGAACCCTTGATAATTTAAAAATTATTATTCATGTCTACACTGAGCGATGTCTCCGTTCACCCACTTTTCTGTTGTTCATCCCCCTGGAGGAGTTATATATAGATCATTGTGATCGGTCCCCTCCTTTCTCCCCTCCACCTTCCCCTCCCCCTCCTGGTATCACTACTCTCATTATTGGTCCTGAGGGGTTTATCTGTACCACTGTACATCCTCTGGTCTAGCCTGATTTGTAAGGTAGAATTGGAATTGTGATAGTGGTGGGGAAGGAAGCATTAAAGAACTAGAGGAAAGTTGTATGTTTCATTGGTGCCATACTGCATCCTGACTGGCTTTACTCTTTTGTAAGGGGATGTCCAATTGCTTACAGATGGGCTTTGGATCTCCACTCTGCACTCCCCCTCATTCACATTGATATGATTTTTTTGTTCTTGGTCTTTGATGACTGAAACCTGATCCCATTGACACCTGATAATCACACAGGCCGGTGTGCTTCTATCATGTGGACTTTGCTGCTTCTCATGTAGATGGCCACTTGTTTATCTTCAAGCCTTTAAGAACCCAGACACTATATCTTTTGATAGCCGGGCACCATGAGCTTTCTTCACCACATTTGCTTATGCACCCATTTGCCTTCAGTGATCATCACAGAATGCCAGGTTGTTAGAACAAAGTGTTCTTGCATTGAGGAAGTACTTGAGTGGAGGCCCAATGTCTGTCTGCTACCTTAATACTTAACATATAAATATATGTACACAGATCTATTTCCCTATCATATATAAATATATTTACATATGTACATGCCTATATCTAGACCTCTATTAATGCCCTTTGCCTCCGAGTTCTGTCTTGTATTTCCTTTTACTTTCCTCTTGTCCCATTATCATGTTTGGCCTTCATTTGGGTTTCAGTAATTCCTCTTGGTTACATTGCCCTTGATCAAGCCCTACCAGGCATCCTACACCCTCCTCACCATCAATTTTAGATCACTTCTTGTTCCCTTGTCCCTGGGGTTAACATGCACTTCCTACCCCCCCATCGCCTCCCCCTCTTCTCATGTTCCCCTAGAACCATCAGTCCTGTTGTTTCCTCTGGATTGTTTATCCTGCCTACCTTATCTAGACAGACATGCAGAGACAATAAGAAGCACAAAAACAAGGCAGAACAAAACAAAATAACAAAACAACAACAAAAAGAAGAGCCTATGAATAGTTCCAGGTCTATTTGTTGACCTTTAGGAGTGTTTTCCTGTCAAGTCTGATGGGGTGTGGTGGCCATTCTTTTGATGTTTGCCTATGCCAAGTCACGTCACGGCTGCTACGTGGATGACAGCAACAATCACTTGTGAGCTATCCCAACTTCGGAGATGTTAATAGTGGCAAATAGTGCCTTCGCTTTGAGGAAATACTGTAAAATCCTTTCCTCACTGCTACTGATGCCACAGCCTCAACTTTTTCTATTTTTAGGGTTATTTTTCATCCTTTCTTGCCAG